AAAAGGGGAACTAGGATAAAATTTGGAAATTAAAGGGGAAATATGGGGGGAATAATGGAAATAAAAGGGGAAAAAAGGGTAAAAATGGGAATAAAAAGGAAATATGGGGGGAATAATGGAAATAAAAGGGGAAATATGGAGAAAAATGGGAATAAAAGGGGAAATATGGGGTAAAACAGGGACTAAAAGGGGAAATATGAGGGAAAATGGAAATAAAAGGGGAAATAATGGAAATAAAAGGCAAAAATAAAAATAAAAGGGGAAATAATGGGACTAAAGGGGGAAATATGGGGTAAAACTGGGCCTAAAAGGTGAAAAGGTAAAACTGTGACTAAAAGGAGAAATATGGGAGGGAAATTTAAATAAAAGGGGAAATAATGGAAATAAAAGGGGAAATAGTGGGACTAAAAGTGGAAATATGGGGTAAAACTGGGACTAAAAGGGGAAATATGGGGGGAAATGGAAATAAAAGGGGAAATAATGGAAATAAAAGGCAAAAATATAAATAAAAGGGGAAATAATGGGACTAAAAGGGTAAAACTGGGACTAAAAGGGGAAATACGGGGTAAAGCTGGGACTAAAAGGGGAAATAATGGAAATAAAAGGGGAAATATGGGGGGAAACTGGGACGAAAAGGGGAAAAGGTAAAACTGGGACTAAAAGGGGAAATATTGGGGTAGAACTGGGACTAAAAGGGGAAATAATGGAAATAAAAGGGGAAATAATGGAAATAAAAGGGGAAATATGAGGGGAGATGTTAATAAGAGGGGAAATATGGGGTAAAACTGGGACTAAAAGTGGAAATAATGGGAATAAAAGGGTAAATATGGGGAAAATGGAAATAAGAGGGGAAATGATGTGACTAAAAGGGGAAATAATGGGAATAAAAGGGGAAATATGGGGGTAAAACTGGGACTAAGGGGAAAAGGTAAAACTGGGACTAAAAGGGGAAATAATGGGACTAAAAGGGGAAATATGAGGGGAGATGTTAATAAGAGGGGAAATATGGGGTAAAACTGAGACTAAAAGGGGAAATAATGGGGGAAATGGAAATAAGAGGGGAAATGATGTGACTAAAAGGGGAAATATGGGGGCAAAACTGGGACTAAAAGGGAAAATAATGGGACTAAAGGGGGAAATACTGGGACTAAAAGGGGAAATATGAGGGGAGATGTTAATAAGAGGGGAAATAATGGGAATAAAAGGGAAAACTCGGGGTAAAACTGGGACTAAAAGGGGAAATAATGGGAATAAAAGGGGAAAAGGTAAAACTGGGACTAAAAGGGGAAATATGGGGTAAAACAGGGACTAAAAGGGGAAATGATGTGACTAGAAGGTGAAACTCGGGTAAAACCGGGCCTGGGGTAAAGCCGGGCCGGTGGCGGTGCCGGGCGCGGGGCCGCGGTAATTGCGGAAGCGGCGCGGTCAGACGCAATTAACGAGCGCGGCTTTAATGAGCCCGGCGGGCCCGGCCAGACGGTCTTTGTGCGCCGCACCCAAACAGGCAATCTGCCGGGGCTGTTCACCCTTTCCGTGCCTTTTTAACCTCTTATTTGGGTTTTTCTGGGGCTTTTAACCTCTTATTTGGGTTTTTCTGGGGCTTTTAACCCTCCACTCGGCCTTTTAATTCGATTTTCCCCCCTCTTTTTTCTTTTTTTTTTTTTTTTTTTTTTTTTTTTGGCGATTAAATTGTTTCTATTTTTCTTCTTTAATTTTTTTTTAATATTTTTCCTAGCTTTTTTCCTCTCTTATTTTTTGCTCTTTCCCCCCCGTTATTTCGTCTTTCAAAGACATATTTATTTTGGCTTTTCTCGCCTTTATTTTCTTTTAAATTCTTTTTATTTTCTCATATTTTTTTCATCCTTCTGGGCATCTTTCAAACTGTTTGTTTTTTTTTTTTTAGGTTTTTGGCATCTTTTTTGGGCTTTATTTTGCTTCTTTTGGGGGGCATTATTTTCCCCAGGCCGCGAAGCCTCGGATCTCCAGCTTTATTTTCATTTGCCCCTCAAAAAAAAAATCGACTTTTTTCAGGTTTTGGGCCCAGCAGAAGAGGCAAAACCAAAGAGAAATAAAGGGAAATAAAGCAAAATAAAATAAAAATATCGATAAATAAAGACAAATAAAGTGAAAGAAAGAGAGAAATAAAGATAAATGAAAATAAATAAAATTCCTTTTCCCCCCGTTTTAATCAGAACCAGCCCAGGCCGATCCCTCGGAGCTCTCGCACGGAGTTAATTTGGATTTAATTTGGATTTAATTACGATTTAATTGCGATTTAATTGCGACGGGCGCGAACCCGCCGCATTTTTGTGGTTTTTTTTCTCCAGATTTTCCTCCCATAAAACGCGGCCGCCATCAAAGCGGATTTTTGTGGGGTTTTTGGGCCTTTTTGGGTTTTTTTTTTTGTTGTTTTTTCCTCGCTTAACAGCGGCGCGCCTTGAAAGGGAGACGGGAATTTTACAGGAGCGCGCGAATAAACGGAATAAATGGGATTTTTTTCGGGCTTTTCCTCGCTTTTATCCCCCCCAAACTCCATAAAATCCCGGAATTGGCGATTCTGAGCCCAAAGCCGATCCCGCCGCCCTTTGTTCCCCCAGCGCGGGAAAACAACAAAAAACGCCGGAAAAAAAAACCAACAAAAAGTGGGAAAAAAATGGACTTTGTGGCTGTGAACTTGTTGGGATTTCCCGAAAAACTTGACTTTGCATTTGGAGTTTGGTATCCTTGACTGAGGCTCGCGGAATTCCCAATTTCCGCCCCTTCGGGGTCGGTTTTTGGGGTGTTTTGGGGGTTTTTTTCCAGTAGAGCGAGCTCTGGGCAAGGGGGAAAAATTAAATTTGAAAAAAAAAAAAAAAAGGGGTGAAATTTGAATTATGAGGGGTAAAAATGAAAAAATGGAGGAGGAATGGGAGATTTGGGCTTAAAATAGGAGTAAATATTAATAGTAATATTAATAGTAATATGAATAATACTGATAAAAATAAAATGAGAATAAGAATAAAAATAAGAATAAAATAATAAAAATAGGAATAGGAATAGGAATAATAAAATAAGAATAAGAATAGCAATAGTAATAGTAATAAGAACAAGAAAATAATAAGAAATATAGGAATACGAATAAGAAAATAAAAATAATTTAAAAACCAAAAAAGGAAATAGAAATCAAAATAAAATTAGTTTTTAAATGTAAATAATTTTTAAAAATCAATAAAAATAAAAAATAACTAAAATTAAAAATCAAAATATAAAATAAAAATAATATTAGAAATTAAAAATCATATATAAATATATAACATAAATGTATAAAAGTAGAAAAAAAATAAAAATAAATAAAAGGAAGGGAAATCAAATAAAAAGGACACCCAATAAATCCCAAATCTCCCCCGGCCCCGGCGGAACTTCGGGCTGAGCCCGCGGGAGGAAATTCCCGATTTTGGCCGGGGAAGCCCCGGCCCGCGAGGAGCTTTAAAGAGGGAAATTCCAATAAAATGTCAAATAAAACCCTGATGGAGAACAGGCCGTGAACGTCTTTATTCCGCACCATTCCCTCGCTTTACACACACACAAATTCCTCTTTTTTTTTTCTGTATTTTTCACCTTTTCCGGGAATTTTTTTCCCTCTTCTTCTTCGCCTCCCTTTTCCCGACGACAAAAATTTTTAAAAAATCAAAATACAAAATGAAACCGCGGCGGGGTCGATGCACAAAGCGTTGGAAATTGGATTTTTCCGCCTGGATTTTGCCCCAAAAATGAATTTTCCTGCCCATTCTCCCCTGAAGGTGTGGAAATTTGGGGTTTTTTGGGGGGAAATTCTCCTTTTTGGCCCCAAATTTGGGGGTTTTGGGGATGGAAACGTCCAGGGCAGCTGCGGCCCCGCGGCTGAGTTGGAATTCCCGTGTGCCTGAAGGAGAATAAAAATAAAAATAATATAATATAATTATAATAATAATAAAATATATATATAAAAAGGAATCACAGACTGTCCGGAGGAGAAAAAAAACAGGGGGAAAACAATTAAAATTAAATAAAGTCCATGGAGTTCAAGTCCTTGAAACTGGGGGGGGGGGGGGGGGGATAAGCAACAAAAAATCAGGAAAAAAATCAGGAAAAATAAGAAAATTAAGGAAAAATATAAGGAAAAATTAGGAAAAACACCCAGGGAAAAAAATTAGAAAATAATCAGGAATAAATCAGAAAATAATCAGAAAAAAAAAAAAAAACAGGAAAAAAATCAGAGAAAATCTGATATTATCAGAAATTAATCAGGAAAAAAGCAGAAAATAATCAGGGGAAAAAAAAACCATAAAAACACAGAAGAAAATAGGGGAAAAAAATTAAAATATCTGATAATAAACTGAAAAAAATCAGATAAAAACAGAAAAAAATTCAGAAGAAATCAGAAAAATTAGGGGAAAAAAACCCCAGAAAATAAAGCAGGAAAAAAATATGAAAAAATCAGAAGAAACCTGGAAAAATCAGGGGGAAAAAATCAGAGGAAAAATGCCAGGAAAAAAAAAAGTCTGAAAAATTCTGAAAAAAAAAAATCAGGGAGAAAAATCAGAAAAAATCAGGGAAAAAATCAGGAAAAAAATCTGAACACCCAGAAAATCAGAAAAATAATCTGAAAACCCAGAAAATCAGAAAAAAAACCAAACAAACAAAAAAAAAATTTACAATCCAGGAAAAAAATCTGGGGGGGGAAAGAAAACCAGAACAAAACCAGAAAATACCAGAAAAAAAAAAAAAAAAAACACGAAAAAAACAGAACAAAACCAGAAAATATCAGAAAAAAATCAGAAAAAAAAAAAAACCACGAAAAAACCTTGAAAAAACCAGAACAAAATCAGGGAAAAAAAAAAAATAACAGGAAAAAAATCTGGAAAAAAAAACAGAGAAATCAGAAAAAAATAATTAAAAAATCATTAGAAAACCAGAAAAAAACCAGAAAAATCAGAAAAAATAATTAAAAATCATTAAAAAACCAGAAAAACCCCAGAAAAATCAGCAAGAACTGAGGGAAAATCGGGAACAAAACGGAAAACCTCTCCAGCCCGAGGCCGCCGCTGTCCCCGGCGCGGCCGCGGCTCGGGGCGGTTTTGGGGGGAATTTGGGGTATTTCGGGCTCACAACAGGGGGTTCCCGGAGAAGAACTGGAGGCGGTCCCGGCTGAGCTTTTTCTCCTTCATGCGGCGGTTCTGGAACCAGATCTTCACCTGGCGGTCGCTGAGGTTCAGCAGCCGCGAGAGCTGCAGCCGCTTCTCCTTGTTGATGTAGACGTTGAAGAAGAACTCGCGCTCCAGCTCGCGGATCTGGAACTTGGAGTACGGGCAGCGCTTCTTCCGCGGCCGCGGAGCGCCTGCGGGGAAATCGGGGTGAAAACGGGAAAAACGGGGGTTGGGGGGTTGGGGGGGGGAATAGGATGGGGGAGGTGGGGGTTGAAATGGGGGAAAATGGGGAAAATAGAATGGGGAATGTGGGGTATAAAATGGGATTAAAATGGGGGAATGTGGGGCTTGAAATGGAGTAAAAATGGGGGAATGTGGGGGTTAAAATGGGATAAAAATGGGATAAAAATGGGATAAAAATGGGATAAAAATGGGGGAATGTGGGGTTTAAAATGGGATAAAAATGGGGAACATAGACCAGGGAATGTGGGATTTAAAATGGGGAAAATAGAATGGGGAATGTGGGGTTAAAATGGGATAAAAATGGGGGAGTGTGGGGTTTGAAATTGGGTAAAAATGAGATAAAAATGGGATAAAAATGAGATAAAAATGGGATAAAAATGGGATAAAAATGGGGGAATGTGGGGTTTAAAATGGGGTTAAAATGGGGGAATGGAATGGGGAATGTGGGGGTTAAAATGGGATAAAAATGGGGGAATGTGGGGTTTGAAATGGGGTAAAAATGGGGAAAATGGAATGGGGAATGTCGGATTTTAAATGGGATGGGTGGGATGAAAATGGGGAAAATAGAATGGGGAATGTGGGGTTTAAAATGGGATAAAAATGGGGAAAATAGGATGGAGAATGTGGGGTTTAAAATGGGATAAAAATGGGAGAAATTAAATGGGGAAAGTGGGGTTAAAATGGGATAAAAATGGGGAAAACAGAATGGGGAATGTGGGATTTAAAATGGGGAAAATAGAATGGGGAATGTGGGATTTAAAATGGGATAAAAATGGGGAAAACAGAATGGGGAATGTGGTGTTTAAAATTGGATAAAAATGGGGGAATGGATTGGGGAATGTGGGGTATAAAATGGGATAAAAACGGGGATTCAGAGTGGGGTGCGTGGGGGGAAAATGGGGAAAATAGAATGGAAAATTCATCATTAAAAGGGGATGGGTGGGCGGAAAATGGGGTAAATAGGATGGGAAATGTGGAATTTAAAAAGGGATTAAAAATGGGGTTTCGGATTGGGATGAGAATGGCATAAATAGAATAGAGAATATGGAATTTAAAATGGGATAGGTGGGATGAAAATGGGATAAATAGACTGGGAAATATAAAATTAAAAAAGAGATGGGTGGCCCGAAAAAATGATAAATTTCCTGAAACAATAGATTATTCTAAAAGAGATTGGTAGCCCAGAAAAAGGGAAAATATATTGAAAAGAACCCATAATTTAAAAAGGGATGGGTGGCCCGAAAAAGGGATAAATAAACTGGGAAAATCGGTAATTTAAAAAGGGATGGGTAACCCCCAAAAAAGGATAAATAGCCTGAGAAAAGAAATTATTCTGAAAAGATGGATGCCCGAAAATGGGGAAAATAGCCTGAAAAAATAAGTAATTAAAAAAGAGATGGGTAGCCTGGAAAAGGGATAAATAGCCTGGAAAATTAAATTATTCTAGAAGGGATGGGTGGCCCAAAAATGGGATGAATATACTGGAAAAAAAGAATGTAATGGGTAGCCCAAAAAAGGGATAAGTGATCCCAAAATGATAAATGATCCCAAAAGGGATGGGTAGCCCAAAAAGGGATGGATAACCCCAAAAGGAGTAAAGAATAATTAACTCCAAAATGAATAAATACCCCACAAGGAATAAATAACCCCAAAAGGAAAAAATACCCCAAAAATTCATAAATACCCCAAAAGGAATAAATAACCCCAAAGGGAATTAATACCTCCAAAATGAATGAATGCCCCATGAAGGAATAAATACCTCAAAAGGAAAAAATACCCCAAGAAAGGAATAAATACCCCAAAAGGAATAAATACCCCAGAAATTAATAAATACCCCAAAAGGAATAAATAACCCCAAAGGGATTTAATACCCTAAAAATGAATAAATACCCTAAAAATGAATAAATACCCCAACAGGAATAAATGCCCCATAACATGGATAAATACCCCAAAACATGAATAAATACCTCAAAAATGAATAAATACCCCAAAAAATGACTAAAAACCCTGAAAGAAGAACAAACCTCAGAATGAAGAATTACCCTAAAATGAAGAAATCCCCAAAAATGAACAAATAACCCCGAAATCCGCGGTGGGAGCGGCAGAAATTTGGGATTTCTGGGAGGGCCCCCGGAGCGCGGTCAGGGCGGATTTCTGGGGAATTTCCCGTCCCGCGCGGGGATTTGGGTGGATTTGGGCAGGTTTGGGGTTTTTGGGGAGCAGAGCCGGTTTGGGGTGGGTTAAACCGGGTTTGGGGTGAGTTAAGCGGGGTTTGGGGTGAGTTAAGCGGGGTTTGAGTGGGTTAAACCGGGTTTGGGGTGGGTTAAGCGGGGTTTGGAGTGGGTTAAACCGGGTTTGGGGTTTTTGGGGAGCAGAACCGGGTTTGGGGTGGGTTAAGCGGGTTTGGGGTGGGTTAAGCGGGGTTTGGGTGGGTTAAGTGGGGTTTGGGTGGGTTAAACCGGGTTTGGGGTGGGTTAAAGGGGGTTTGGGGTGAGTTAAACCGGGTTTGGGGTGGGTTAACGGGTTTTGGGGTGGGTTAAGTGGGGTTTGGGGTTTTTGGGGAGCAGAACCGGGTTTGGGGAGCAGAACCGGGTTTGGGGAGGGTTAAACGGGGTTTGGGGTGGGTTAAACGGGGTTTGGGTGGGTTAAGCGGGGTTTGGGGTGAGTTAAACCGGGTTTGGGGTGGGTTAAGCGGGTTTGGGGTGGGTTAAAGGGGGTTTGGGGTGGGTTAAGCGGGGTTTGGGGTGGGTTAAGCGGGTTTGGGGTGGGTTAAGCGGGGTTTGGGGTGGGTTAAGCGGGGTTGGGGTTTTGGGGGAGCAGAGCCGGGTTTGGGGTGGGTTAAAGAGGGTTTGGGGTGGGTTAAACCGGGTTTGGGGTGGGTTAAGCGGGGTTTAGGGAGGGAAGGGATCAAAGCAGCGCCGATATCAGCGCGGCCCGATTTAGGTCGGGATTAGGGAGCAGAGCCGCGGTTCCGCACCAGTTTCTGATTAACTCCAGCCCCGCCACACACGCGAAGAACGGGAATCAAAGCCGGGAAATTCGGGATGGGATCCTCGGAGGCGCCGGGGAGGCAGAACATCCCCCCCAAAAAATCCCAACAGGCAAAGCAGCCCCCCCAAAAAAATCCCACCAAAAAATCCCAAAAGGCAAAGCAACCCCAAAAATAAAATACCCTTAAAAAATCTCAAAAGGCAAAGCAGCCCCCAAAAATAAAATACCCCCAAAAATCCCAAAAGGCAGAACATTCCCCCAAAAAAATCCCAAAAGCAAAGCAACCCCAAAAAAATCCCCCCCAAAAAAACCCCAAAAGCAGGACAGCCCAAAAATCCATCCCAAGAGGTTGAACAGCCAAAAAAATATCCCAAAAAGCAGCGCATTCCCCCAAAAAATCCCAAAAGGCAAAAATTCCCAAAAAAAAAAAAAACCCAAAAGGTAAAACAGCCTCAAAACCCCATCCCAAAAGGCAAAACAGCCCCAAAAAACCCCCAAAACCGCCCCAAAACGGTCCCGGATTCCCAGAGCGGCGACGAGGAGAAATAAATAAAATAAGATCAAATAAAATTCCTGAAATGAAATGTAAAATGAAATTTAAAATCCGGTTTCGAGGCGATCCAAAGGGAAATCCTCTCCTGACAAAGCGCGGCTCGGGAGGGGAGGATGCGCCTGGAAAAACGGGGGGAAATTCTCCTTTTTGGCCCCAATTGCGGCGGTTCCTCCCTCAGCCCGGCCGCAGAGGGCTCGGCAGCGCGTTTTAATTAGAAATTAATTTAAAAAGCATCCCCAAAGCGCGGGAAGCGGCGGGGGAAGCCCGCGCGTTCTGCCCAATTGCCTCTCACCCTCGGCAACCCCGATCCTTTAAAACGCCCGCCTAAGTTCATGATCAAAGTTAATATTTGTCACCGGCCGCGCTTTTAAAATTTCACAGACTCGCGGAGAGACAGCGAGGGGACGTGGCTGTGCTTAACATCCCCGCTTTACGTTTTATTTTCCTTTTTTTTTGTTCTCCCACCGCCTTTTTTTTTTTATTATTTTCCCTTTTTTTTCTTTTTGGTGGTTTTTTTTTTCGCCATCGTAAAAAAAAAAAAAATAAATAAAAGGGGAGAGAGAGAGAGAAAGAAGAAAGCGCTTCGGAGCTTCTCATAAAATCCTGGCCGCGCTTATAAAACTGCACATAAAAAGCTCGGCCGGGCTGGGTCTGCCCCGGCTCAAACGCGGCTCAAACGCGGCTCAAACCCGGCTCAAACGCGGCTCAAACGCGGCTCAAACCCGGCTCAAACCCGGCTCAAACCCGGCTCAAACCCGGCTCAAAGCCGGCTCAAACCCGGCTCAAACGCGGCTCAAACCCGGCTCAAACGCGGCTCAAACCCGGCTCAAACGCGGCTCAAACCCGGCTCAAACCCGGCTCAAACGCGGCTCAAACCCGGCTCAAACGCGGCTCAAACGCGGCTCAAACCCGGCTCAAACCTACTCTGCGCGCCGCTCTTGGAGCCCTCCTTGGCTCCCGACGAGGAGGACGCCGAGGCCGAGCCGGGGTTGGCGTTCTCCTCCTCCTCCTCCTCGTCCTCCTCGTCGTGCGCGGAGCCCCCCGCGCCCCCCGCGCCCCTCTCGCCGCCCGCCCGCTCGGGGCTCTCCAGGAAGCGCTCGAAGCTCTGCGGCAGCGCCGAGTTCTTGGCGGCCGCGGGGTAAAACCCGGGCGGCGGCGGCGGCTGCGGGGCGGGGTGCTGCTGCTGGTGCTGCTGGTGCTGGTGGTGGTGGTGGTGGTGGTGGAAATTCTCGCTCTTCAGCAGCACCTCGGCGGGCGGGAGGCACTCCCTGTGCATCAGCTCCTCCGCGGAGTAGCACGCCGCGTAATTCCCGCGCGGGTGCCACTTCCCCGCGGGCTCCAGCGCGTAGGGCACCTCGCGGGGCAGGTTGGCGGCGTAGGGGTAGGAGATCTGCCGGGCGGGCCCGAAGGAGGGCACGGACGGGAACTCGGGCACGTAGTAGGTGCAGCTGGGCAGGTACAGGTTCCCCGCGCGGTCGCCGAAGTCGCCGCCGCCGCCGCCGCCGCGCTCCTTGCGCGTCTGCGAGGGGCAGAAGTTGCCCAGGTTCACCGAGTTGAACATCCTGGCCCCGGCGCTGCGGAGGGGCTTTTTTTGGGGGTTTTGTTTTTTTATATATAAGCCGCGCTGCTCGGGGTTGAGAGGTTTTTTTTTTTTTTTTTTCCCTGAGCTTTTTTTTTTTCCCTTTTTTTTTTTCCCTTTTTTTTTTCTTTTTTTTTTTTTTTTTTTTTTTTGTGTGTGTGTGTGTGTGGAAAGAGCGGGGGAGGGAGGGAGGGGGGGAAAGCGGCGCGGAGGGTGAAAAAAAAAGGGAATTTTGGGGAGGCGAGGATGACGCGCGCTCCGTCTCAGTCGCTGGCGAGCGCCACGTGATGCCGGAGCAGAAATTGTCATTTATTTGTCATTTATCGGCCGGGAGCGCCGCAGGAGGGGCGGCCGCGCTGGGGTAAGAGCCGGGCCCGGCCCCGGGGCGGCGGGAGCGAGAACCGGCCCCGGCCGGGGGCAGCTCCTGCTCCGGGGCAATTCCTGCCCGGCCCGGGGGCAATTCCTGCCCGGCCCGGGGGCAATTCCTGCCCGGCCCGGGGGCAATTTCTGCCCGAATCGGGGGAAATTCCTGCCCGGGATCGGGAGTAATTCCTGCCCGCTCCGGGGGCAATTCCTGCCCGGCCCGAATCGGGCGAAATTCCTTCCCGGCCCGGGGGGCAATTCCTGCCCGCTCCGGGGGCAACTTCTGCCCAAAGGCGGGGGCAATTCCTGCCCGGCCCGGGGGCATTTCCAGCCCCGGGGGCAATTCCTGCCCGCCCGGGGGCATTTCCAGCCCCGGGGGCAATTCGTGCCCGGCCCGGGGGTAATTCCTGCCGGGATCGGGAGCAATTCCTGCCCGGGGGTATTTCTAGTCCCGGGGGCATTTCCAGCCCCCGCCTGGGGAACTTGTTGGGTTTTTTATCCCCTCCTTTCTTGCTCTTTTTTTTTTTTCCCCTTTCTCCTCCTATTCTCGCGTTTTGTTTTGTTTTGTTTTGTTTTGTTTTGTTTTGTTTTAACCGTGTTTTTCCTCTTTCCCCCTTTCTTCCTCTTTTTCTTACTCTCTCCCTCTTTTCGCTCTTTTTCTTTTCCTTCCAGTTTTATTCTTGTTTTATTCTCCTTCTCCCTTTCTTCCTCTTTCTTTCTTTCTGTCTCCTCCTCGTTCTTTTCCTTTTATTTTCAAATTGTTTTTGTTTTTTTCCTCTTTCCCCCTTTCTTGCTCTTTTTCTTAATCTCTTCTTCTCCCTATTTTCTCTTTATTTTCCTTCCATTTTTTCTGTTTCCCCCCCTTTCTTCCTCTTTTTCCTTCTGTCTCCCTCTCTTATCACTACTTTTCTTTTTCTTTCAAGCTTTTTTGGTTTTCCTCCTCTTTCCCCCTTTCTTGCTCTTTTTTCTCTTCTTCCACTTTCTTCCCCTTTTCTTTCCTTCCCCCTTTTTACTCTTTCTTCTTTTTCTCTCTTCCCCTCTTCTCGCTCTTTATATTTTTATTTTTCTTCCAATTTTTCCCTTTCCCCCTTTCATCCTCTTTCTTCTCTCCTCCCTCCCTCTTGTCGCTATTTTTCTTTTTCTTCCAAGTTTTTCTGCTTTTCCCCCTCTTTCCCCGTTTCTTGCTATTTCTTCCCCTTTTCTTTCCTTCCCCCTTTTTGCTCTTTTATCCCTCTCATCCTTTTTGTGCTCTTTCTCATTTTCTTCCCTTTTCACCCATTTTTCCTCCCTTTTTTCCTTTCTCCCCCTTTTTTATCCTTTCCCTCCCTTCTCGCTCTTTTCCTTTTCTTCCTTTTTCTCAATTTTCTCTTTTTTTCTTCCCTTTTTTCTTTTTCTTTCCCCTTCCCTTTCCCCCTTCCCTTTCCCCTTTTTATTCCCTCTGTTTTTCCCCTTTTTCCCTCTCTTTTTCCCCTCATTTTCCCTTCCACCCCCCCCTTCTCCCTTAATTTTCTCCCCTTTTTTCCATCTTTTCTCCCTTTTTCCCCATTTTCCTGTCCCGCCGCTTCCAGCGGGTTTGGCGCTCCAAGGGCTGGAAAACCCAATTTTATCAAGATTTTAATCACTCTGATTATTCTAATTTATTATTCCCATCCCTGCAAAAGCTTCGGGCAGCTCCATAAAACCTCGGGAGTTGCAGGGGGAACTTTTTCTCCAATAAACGGGAATTCAGCGAAATTACAAATCCCTCTCGGCCGGGAGAATTAGCGCTAATTAACGAGCCCCTAACAAACGCTAATTACTCCTCTGCGCGTGCTTTTGATGGAAAAAATTCCACTCCAGATCGCGCGAAGTTTCCCAACTTTAAACCCGGAGCAGGCCCGGCGATTTAAAACGTATTTTACATGAATTTTAAATCCATTTTAAATGCATTTCAAATTAATTTTAAATGCACTTTAAATGAATTTTAAATGGAATTTTTAAATGGTATTTTAAATGATATTTGAATGATATTTTTCATTGTTAAAAAATGCTATTTTTAATGAATTTTGATGCGGATTTCGCGGTTTATCCAGGAAAATAAAGGAAATGAAATCTCTGCCTGATCAATATTCCAAAGTCTCCCTTCTCCCTGAAATATTTATCCCGGTATTGAATATTTCATGCGCGGGTTTATTGTCAATCAATGGCGGCGCTTCCCTCGTTTAGTCCCGAATTAAAATGAAAAAAAAAATAAATAAAAAAGAGAATTTTGATTAAAGTCGTTTGTCTCGCGCCTGGAATCCTCTCTGATCCCCGTCCCGCTGGAATTTATCCCGGAAAAAAAATCGAAATATCGGAGCGCGGCTGGATATTGGGTGGGTTCGCCTCGGAATTGTCCAAATTTAATTTAAAAACAGGGATTTTAATTTAAAAGAATCGTTCGGGAAAGGGAAAAATCTGAATTTCCTGCGGGATCGGGTTTTCCCGCTTCATTCCCGCAGCTCCGGAGGAACAATTCCCTGGAATAATTGGGGATAAATCGGGTTTTTCACCTGGGTTGGGATTTCTGAGCCTTCCCCGATGGAAAAACTCAGGAAATTCTGGTGTTTCTGAATTTTTTTATATCAATCCAGCAGGAAAATTTAAGGGGAAAAAAAGAGAAATTTCAGGAGCACGAAAAGTCTCGATGGCCGCCGTGGGGGTTCGCTGAGATAAAAAAATCGAAATAAAGTAACAAATCCACCCCAAATAATCGGGATTTCACCCCCAGATCACCAAGATTTTACCCCAAAATAACAAATCCACCTCAAATAATGAGAGTTTCACCCCCAAATAATGGGAATTTCACCCCAAAAGAACAAATCCACTCCAAGTAATGGGAATTTCACCCCAAAATAAAAAATCCACCCTACAATAAAGGGAATTTCACCCCCAAATAATGGGAATTTCACCCGAAAATAACAAATCCACCCCAAATAATGGGAATTCCACCCCCAAACAAAGGGAATTTCACCCCAAAAGTGCTCTCCGGGCTGGCTCCTCCGTGCTCTCCCCAATTTAATTCCATTTATTTCGCTCCCATCCACCCGCAGTTCATTTTTTTTTTTCCATTGGGGTCGCCGAATTTCAGGGGAAAAAGTGGTAAAAATGGGAAAAAACCTCCTCGGAAGAGCGGGGCAGCGGCTGAAAATCAAAATATCCCGAAATTCGGCAGCGGTGTGGGGGAAAAAAAGGGGGAAATTTTTGATTTTTTCTGGAGCGAAGAGGAGAAAAATCCCGGGAATTGCGGCAGCGCCTCCCGAACCCCGAAAACCGGGAATTCCGCCCGGAATTTTGGGGATTTGTTGGGAATTCTCGGAGCCCGCCTCGCTCGCGGCTTCCCAGCCCAAATAATTCCCATTAATTTCGGGCTTTCCCCACCCTTTTCCTTTGGCTTTGTGCTCCCCGTTCCCATAAAATCCCTTTTTTTTCCTTTTTATAAGGGATCGGGGCGGGCTGAAAACACAAATAAATATCCCAGGAATTGCGGGACGAGGGTTTTTATCCCAATAAAACTGGAAATAAAAACCGAAATAAAAACAAATAAAAACCCGCCACTCCAAGCCGGAATCCAGGAGTTTTTCCCTGTTCCTAATCCCATTTTTTCAATCTTTTTATGGCGTTTTGGGGCAAAACTTTTAATTAAAGTGTCAGCGCGGCTTTAAGCGGGGTTTTTATGGGGCGATATTAATCCCGGACTCCGAACTAACGATCTTCTGGGATTTTTTATGAGCTTAATTATTATTTTTTACCCCCCGCAATTCCCTCCTCTGGAGCATCTCCCTCTAAAATGGGGAAAAAAAGGTTTAAAATTCACTTTTTTTGGGATTTTTAGACCCAGGGGAAGCTCTGAGCGCGGGTTTTTAACCAGAGGGGGAATTTGAGCTCGTCCTAAAATCCTGAAACCCCAAACCCCTCCAAAAAAACCCCAAAATCGGAGTGGGGAGAATTTGGGGGGTTTGGGGGGAAAAAAGGATTTAAAGCTGAGCCCGGGCATCACGTTTTGGGGTTTAAAGTCACGTTTTGGGGTTTAAAGGAGGATTTTGGGGTTTAAAGGAGGGTTTTGGGGTTTAAAGTCACGTTTTGGGGTTTAAAGTCACGTTTTAGGGTTTAAAGCCGGGTTTGAGCATTTTTAGGATGGGTTTAGGGGTTTAGAGCTGGGTTTAAAGTCCGGTTTTGAGGTTTCAAAGGCGGGTTTTGGGGCATAAATGGGCGGTTTTGGGGTTTAAAGGCAAATTCGGGATTTTAAAGGCGGGTTCGGTGGTTTAAAGGCGGGTTTTGGGGTTTCAAAGATGGATTTTGGGGTTTAAAGGGAAATATGGTATTTTAAAGGAAGGTTTGAGGGTTTAAAGGAGTGTTTTGGGGTTTCAAAGGCGGGTTTTGGGGCATAAAAAGGAGGTTTTGGGGTTTAAAGGCAAGATTGAGGATTTAAAGGCGGGTTTGGGGCTTTAAAGGTGAATCTTGGCTGTAAAAATGAGGTGGTTTTGGGGTTTAAATCCCGATTTTGGTGTGTAAAAAGGGTTTTTATGGTGTTTAAATGCGGGTTTTGTGGTGTAAAAAGCGGGTTTTTTTGTGTTGAAATGCGGGTTTTAGGGTGTAAAAAGGGTTTTTATGGTGTTGAAGTGCGGGTTTTGTGGTGTAAAAAGGAATTTTTTT